ATTTTTTTCCCGTGTTCTATTTCTACAGAAGTGAAATCTGAAATAAGTATTTTTGTTTTAGTTTGGTGTGGGGGCCAGATCCAGTGATGCTCGGGGGTTACCCCTGCTCTGCACTCAGGAGTCACTCCTGGCAGTGCTCCTGAGACCATCTGGAATACCAGGCATCAAAGTTAAGCCTGTGAGGCACAAGGCCAACAGCTACCCACTATCCTATCTCTCCAGCTCCGACAGAATTATGTTTAAGAGAGAACATTCTTTTCGAGAAGGAAATGTAAACATAGAGAAGTGGTCAGTTTTTCCCCTGCGGTAGTATGAATATAGAAATTCTGAAAAACTACACAACTGAGAACAAAAAATATAATGATCACAAGGGAGGTATGGTTCTTACCATGGGAAATGGAAAATACAAATTTAGAAACAGTAAAGATAAGGCAGAACTTATGTAAGTTAAACTGGAAGTACTAGCATGAAATTAAAACTTCAAAATATTCATCTATGCTTCTTATGTCTACCAAAAAGACCCAAAAGTAATGAGCACAGCTAGCATCAGGACCTTGGTTTCTAAGTACCATTTTTCACTAAAAATGAATGAGAAGCCCTTGGAGAACTGATCTGAAAGGTGGAAAAGGAAGGTAAACATCTAAATAAATTTCCACAAAATAGGAAGCATTCCCACAGGCCAAATCTGAAACAACATGAACAACAAAATGATTGTTTTATATTATAGGTCATGACACTTTATAAAACCAGAATCCATTAATCCACACCAGTCATAAATAAGAATAAACATACACTGGAGAAAAGGGAGAGCTATCTCTTAGAATACTGACTGTGAAAATGCAATTTTGGGCATCCTCACAATTTTTAAATATCAGGGAAAAGATTACTGTAGACAAAATCATCAATAAATGCCAAGTCAAGAGGTGTGAAGTGTGAACAAAAGAACCACGTAATGAAGAAGTCAAACCATGCCACATTCATTGACCAAAGCTACCATCGCTGGACCTGGGAGATGGCTCAAAGGCTAAGCCGCTTGCCATGCACACGTGAAGCCACGGGTCTGATGCCCACTGCCAGGACATGCACCCAGAGCCACCTTCTGTGATCTCTGGCACCACTCGCTATTTTTAGTTGCACTGAAAGCAGTTCTGTTAGAGCACCACGACTGAAGGGTACTGACCAACCCCTCAGTAAACATCAAAATGCAGACGTCACCCCTCCGGGGCTCTCTGGGCAGAATGTGTGCGAGCAAGCATCACAACTGCACAAATGGGACCTCTTCCCCGCCCCCCACCAGAGGAGACGTGCAAGGAACATTAACTACAAGGAGCACGCCTCGCCTACTTGCAATCAATTCGAACAAACCAGTCGGGCAAGAGAGATCAGCGCGCCTGCGTGCCTTGCACACGGCTGACCAGGGTTTGATCCTGGGCAACACCACCGCTGAGTTACCTGTGAGCAGAGCCAGGAATGAACCCTGAGCACAAACAAAACCAGACCAGTAAAACCTAAAGAGTCGTGGATTCCTCCCCCCACAATAAAACCTGCTCAAATCTTTTTTCCTACAAACTACATCTTTGTGTCTGGAGCTGTGGGAAGGATGGGGAGGGGCTGGCTGTCAGGGAATCAAACCCAGACCTCACGCGTGGAAGGACAGCGCACTGCCAGTGAACCACACCCCTACCCCAAACTCCTTTGTTGGGTATTGTGTTCAATGAAGATACAAATACCAGATTTCAACCATTTCGACCAATTTTTCAAACAAAATTTTGTTTGAAATTCTAAGGACATCTGAAAGAAAGACTACATATTAAATATTAAAACAAGAGAAAGAATTCATAGCAGCTGCAGTGAATTTTGGGAATTTAACAGCAACTGCATTGGATAAGGTATGCCCTGTGACACACAAGAACATTTAAGACGGGCCAGAGCGAGATAGTACAGCAAGCAGGATGCTTATCCTGCCCGTGGCCAACAAAGGTTCAATCCCGTATGGTTCCCCTGCGCACTGACAGGAGTGAGTCCTGAGTACAGAGCCAGGAGTAACCCCTAAGCAACACTGGATGTAATTTTTTTTTTTTTTTTTTTGCTTTTTGGGTCACACCCAGCGATGCACAGGAGTTACTCCTGGCGGTGCTCAGGGGACCATATGGGATGCTGGGAACCGAACCTAGGTTGGCTGCGTGCAAGGCAAACACCCTACCCGCTGTGCTATTGCTCCAGCCCCTGGATGTAATATTTTTTTAAAGAACTCTTACTACATTATTTATACTAGCCAAGAAATAGTGATCTGAAAATCCACAATTACAGGAATAAGGTACCATCAATCTACACTATTTTTCAAAACAATACAATTTTTTTTAAGAATAAAGTATATCCTATGTACAAAAGTACTGATATACTACAGAACAGACTGAAAACAAAAGTTGCTGATATATCTACTTGTATGAAAAAAATCAAAGTGTGGTCATGTATTTATACTCCAAAACAGAATCTAAAAGGAAGCACAGAAATAGTCACCAATGATCACCTCTGGGAGAGGAAAAGTAGGACTGGTGTACTACTAGCACTTTATTATTTTTTCCTCTAAGACAGCATGTACCAGTCTTACAGTTTTGTTTTGGTTCTTTTAGTTTTGGTTTTCAGGCTACACCGAGTAACATTAAGGAGGTCCATATGGGACGCCAAGGATGGAACTCAAGTAGGCCACATACGTGTAAGGCAAGTGTCCTACCAGCTGTACTGTTTCTCCAGAACCTATTCTTACAGTTTTAAAGAACACTTTATATTCTTAAACCAAGATTTAAAATTGCTTTAATGAAAAACGATTTTAGTGATGACATAAACTATAATTTTGATATCAGAACTATAATACAGTTACTTGACATTCCAAGATCTATTTTTCTGTCCAAGTATCTTTGTGCTTGCTACTGTTTCCAGTTAATTCTTTTTTGTTTGGGGGGGGATGGAAAAGGGGGCTGGGGGGGTCATACCTGGCAATTCTCAGCAGTTCGTCCTGACTCTGCACTCAGGAATCGCTCCTGGCAGTGCTCGGAGGACCATACAGGATACCAGGGATTGACCCCAGGTCATCTGTGTAAAAGGCAAACGCCCTGTCCTACCCACTGTACTATCGCTCCAGCCCCTGTTTTTAAGTTTTCATTTAAGAAAGTAAGTTTACATGTAGCTCCTTTATGAAATTAGGTTTAATTCTAATTGAAAAATTCTGGTTACTTATAGGTTGTAACAATTTCTGAAAAATGAAAGAAAAATATGCACACAAGTTTCTCCTTGTACTTTCAGTCAGCAATCATCAAAGTATGAGAGCAATGTCCCCATACACGAGATTTATGATCATGGAGTGACACACTTGTTGAACTTTGAACTACTGACATCTAACTATTCATTTTATGAATAGGGAAGATCCATCATCATTCAGTTATCTTCTCACTAAGAAGATGGGCAAGGACAGAAAATCAGAAACTCAGCAAGTATGAAGGTACTAACTAGCACCATGTTTTGGAGCACAGTGTTCCTGTAATACAGAAACAGTGCTTGGTCAAGAGAACCTTCCAACAAAAAATAAACTCTGGGTTTTCTGTTGTGTTTTCAGGTTTCGGGCCACGCCCAGCGGTGCAAGGTTTGTGCCCAGGGCCCTGTGGTGCCACAGAAGTAACAAACCTGGGCTTTTCTCAGGCAAAGCATGGCACATCTGTTTCAAATTGATGGTAATGAAAAATGAGATTAAGGAATCCTTCCTCTAGAATCTAAACGGCTTCAGTTATTCGGAGAGAGACTAACTCCACTATGGGGAGAGAAATCAACTCGTTCAGCAACGATTAGCAATGCAGCTTTAAATCACATTTAAGGTGTGTTTGTGACTGACCACAGACATCGCTGACTAGGCTCGCTCATACAGACTTTTATTAGCTTGTGGTTACACTCTTCGAGGGCAATTGTCAGTAAGACTGTGCGGAAATGGAGATTTCTTCTTACTCTCCCTCGCAGAGAAATCAATCTCTAGGGATCCTTAGGAAGACCTCCACTTTAGCAGGCATCTAGAGGATCAGAAATATCAGCTTTTCGGTTGGTTAATATGAGGCTATAGGAATGCAACAGGAATCTATTAGCAGTGATTCCATAAAGACTCCCAAACTCATCATCAAAACGGACACTCATAAAAAAAAAGTCTATGCCAAGCAAGACAGATCGGTGTCCTCTGCAGGGCATACTTTCTCTGGGTACAAATCGGTGGTATTGGTGCACTTCTCCCTTCAACTGAAAGTGCTAAACGAGCTGAATTCCAGCTCTTCGGATGCTCCCTAAGGCTCGTGAAGCCAAAAGACGTGCGCAGAGAAGTCGGGATGCCAGTTCTTGCCTCCAACCTCAAGAGAATCCACGGAAGGAGAGAGGAAGCACGACCGACCAGGGCCTCACTCAGCGCCACTCAATGGGAGAAAAGAAAGGGGGGAACGAGAAGGGCCACGCCGAGCGGCGCCGGCCAGGCCAGGCCGGGGCCAGGCGGGACCGGGCGCCCCAGGGCAGGGCTCGGGCTTTTCCAGCGCTGGGCCCTGCTGGCGGGAGCGGCGTCGCCCCGGGCCCGTCCCGAGGCCCCTGGAAACGCGGGACGCCCCGTCCGCGGGCGCCTCCGGCCGCGCGGCTCCGGGACGGGCCGCCGTGGACACGCGTGGCCAGACACGGGGCGCGGGCCGCGGCCTCTCGGGGTCCGGGACAGCGGCGGGCGCCGGACGCCCCGGGCAGGGCGGGGCTGGGCGACCCGGGCCCGGGGTTCCGGCGACCCGGACGCGCCCCAGCAGCGGCGCTCGGGGGGGTCCGGAAGGAGCCGGACCCGGACCCGGACCGGGACCCGCCAGGCTCCCGCCGCCACCCACGACGCGCACACGCACACGCGCGCGCACACGCACACGGCCCGCTGCCCCCTCCTCCCCTCCGGCTCCCGGGTCGGTGGGCGCCCCCCCGTCCCCGCGCCCGCCACTCACCGACTCGGTCCTTGCCGTACATGTGCCCGGCCACCTGGTGCGACAGGGGCACGCAGCCGTCCAGGAAGCGCAGCGCGGCGCCCGCGGGGGGCAACGTCGCGGGGGGCCGCGCGCGGGGGCCGCCGGGCGCCTCGGGCCGCTGGGGCGCGGGGGGCGGCGGCGGCGTGGCCATCACGGGCGGGCGCGCGGGCGCGGGCGGCGGGGCCGGGGGCGCGGGGCGCGGCCGGGGCCGGGCAGGGGCGCGCGGGCCCGGGGCTCAGGCCCCGCCGCGAGGACGCCCGGGGTTGCCCGCGCCGGGGACCCGCCGGGGCCCGCGCACGGCGCCCATGAGGCCGCGGCGGCGAGGACGCGGGCGCAGCTCTCGGAGGGGCGCGACTCGGGGGCGCTCGGCCTCGGCCGCCTCGGCCGCCGCCGCCGCCGCCGCCGCCGCAGCCCGGACGCGGAACCGAGCCCAGGACGGCAGCAGCAGCGCTGCGGGCCCGGGGCTGACGGCGACGGCGACGGCGGCGGCCACGCCCCCCGCTAGGCTCCGCCCCCGCCTCCCACCGGGCCCCGCCCCCGCCGCTCGCTGGGCCCCGCCCCTCCCGCCAGGCCCCGGCCCCGCCCGCCGAGCATGCCCAGAGGCCGCCCGACGGGACCCCCGCGCGGGGCCCGGGCTTCAGGCGGCCGCGCGCCCGGGAGCCCCCCCCCACCCCACCCCCAGGTGACGTTACGATGCCACCAGTGCTGCGGTCGCTTTACGCCCTGGCCGCGCTTCTCGCCGCGTCCTCGGGGGTCATCCCGGACGCCCCGAGCCTCCAGGGCTGCGGTGAGTGGGGAGGGGGCGCCCCCGGAGCCCCCCCCGCCCCGCTCGGACGCGGCGGGAGGCGCTCGGCTCCCGGGAGCAGCCCCCCAGAGCGCCCGCTGCCGTCGCCTCGACGGGCCTCGACGGCGCAGTGGCGGGGCGCCGGCCTGTGGGCCGGCCCGGTTCGGTTCCGCCGCCCCCCACGGCAGGGCTCCCTGTGATCCGCCAGGCGCAGGGACGGGTCTCCCAGCGCCCCAGGACCCGCTCGAGCAGCGCGAACAACGGGGCGACGGCGACCTAGACCCTGGCTCTGACCCTGACCCTGGCCCTGCGGCCACTGTCATCGTCGCAGCGGGTCTGGCGGGTCTCAGGCCGCAGCGACCCGAACTTTCGGTTGGGGGAGGAGGGGGCGCCCCACCCCTCCGACTCGACCCTCCGCGCAGGGGTCAGGGTCCTCCCGAGCTGACGCCCGGCTCGGGCGGGTGGCGCGCTCGGGACGGGCCGGCGGTCCGCCCCCGGCATCCGCGAGGTCCACTGGGCCGGCCCCCGGCCCCGGTACCGGCCTGAGCGAGTGGACTCGGGGCACAGCTTCCGGCCTGACCGCGGCCCCGCCCCGGCCCGAGCGGCCACCGCCCCGCCCCTCGGCCCCGCCCTCGTGCGCAGGCGCAGCCGCCCCCCCCCGCCCCGCGGCGGTCCCGGCCGGGCTCGGCGCTTCCTCCCGGCAGGGACGCGACTCTGCGCATGCCCAGCCCGGGAGGTTCGCGCGTGCCCGCGGCGCCTGCGCGTTGCGCCTGCGTCAGCGCCCGGGACGCCCCTGACCTGCACTCGGCGGCCTGCGCGAGCCTCGGCGCTCGGTGTCCCGCGTGACGCGCCTGCGAGCGGCGGCACCATGAACCTGACCCCCAGCGCGCGAGGTGACGTGGCCGGAGGCGGGGGGAGGGGGCCGCGCGGCCCCCCTCGGCTCCTCCCGGGGCTCGGGTCCCGCGACCTTGGGGTCCCAGAGGGGCCTGGGGTGCTCCCGCGACCTTGGGATTCAGAGGGGCACGGGTGGTCCCGCGACCTTGGGACCCAGGGGGGCATGGGGTCCTGGGACCCTGGGGTCCCAAGGGGGCATGGGGCCCTGCGACCCTGGGACCCACAGGGGTATGGCCCTATGACCCTGGGGTCCGAAGAGGGCATGGGGCCCTGCTACCTTGGGGTTCTAGAGGGGTATGGGGCCCTGCGACCCCGGTACCCAGTGGGGCATGACGCCCCGGGACCCAGAGGGGCATGGGGCCCTGCGACCTTGGGGTTCTAAGGGGCATGGGGTCCTGCGACCCCGGGACCTAGGGGGGCATGGGGCCCTGCGACCCTGGGACCCACAGGGGTATGGCCCTATGACCCTGGGGTCCGAAGAGGGCATGGGGCCCTGCTACCTTGGGGTTCTAGAGGGGTATGGGGCCCTGCGACCCCGGCACCCAGGGGGGCATGACGCCCCGGGACCCAGAGGGGCATGGGGTCCTGCGACCCCGGGACCCAGGGGGGCATGGGGCCCTGCGACCCTGGGACCCACAGGGGTATGGCCCTGCAACCCTGGAGTTCCAAGGGGGCATGGGGCCCTGCGACCCCGACACCCAGGGGCCCATGCTCTCGGGCAACCCGGAGCTCGGGCCAGGCGGGGAGGGGGCCAACTCTCGGTCTGGACGGTGAGGACACCGGGCCTGAGTGGCACGGGGCAGCGCAGACCCCCACCGGAATCAGACCACACTGCTACCCCCAGCCCAGCCCGGCCCGCCCCTGGCCTTTCCTGCTCATCCCTGCCACACCTGTTTTGACTCCAAAAAAGCAAAGACGGGGCTTGGGGAGGAATCCTGCTACCCCTCCTCACTTTGTCTTAGCCGGGAAATTGCAGTATCGATTTTCCTGCAATCTTCTGGTGGCTGATCACGTCTCAGTTTTGCACTTCTAAGGGCAGAAACCCAATCCCTGCTTTTTCCCTGTTTTTATTATGCCTTTCGCCTCAGGCGCTGGAGGCCCAAAGTCCAAGAGGGAGGATTGAAAGCCTTGAGCTTTCTCAACCTTGCTAGTGCCCAAGGTTTGGAAATAAATTTGCAAAAGGTCCAGTTTAACGAGGCCCTATTGACATTGTACAACGTAGCCTTTTGTTTTAGAGCAGTTCTTTGTAGTAGAATTGCTTCCTAATAGGGTGCTCTCCTCCCGGGGTGTAAAATGCCACACCCCAAGGTTGGCCCACCTGTAACAGGAGTTGAGTGCAGAGGTGGTGCAGAAGCTGATTAAAATGGCCCCACTGAGTCATTTGGATAATATCAAACATGCAGAACACCAAGTTCTGTAACTTCTCTACCCATCTGAGCCTACACTTCCTCTTATAAATACTGTAAATGGCAGGAATACGCTTCTTGGGGAAGATTTCTCTTTTGCCAAAAGTTACCTGGTATAGTAAAAGTAACGAGCTGTGACATTTTTGTGCTATTAATATGGTTTATGGAAATTGCAAATCGCTTGATCAGATGATTAGCTTAAGTTTTGAGGTACTGAACTTTGTTTCGTGCGGTGACTGTTTCACCTAAAATCGTCGCAGTGAGTGGAGAGGACCGACGCCTTCCAGGGTCTCTATTAGCACCCACTTTCTGACTCAGACCTAGGGGTATATCAAAATGTTGGGAATCCACCTTGCACCATTTAGGTCATAAATTGTTTTACTCCCAGGTTTTTTTTAGCTAAACGTATTAATCGCTGTGATTTGAGAACCAATTTAGATCCTTTGCGTGGAAGATGGCCCTGTTTCTTTTCAAATCAGTGATATAACGGCTTTCAGATAGTAAGTGCTATATAAAATTAATGAAACGTTATCTATGCATGCAGAATTCTTATTTGTATTCAGAAGCAGAGGACTGTGTGGTTTACAAGTGAAAATCAGTAGAGATCAGGCCAAGATACAAATCTGGAAGAGGTGATGATGAGGATGGTTGGCAGCAAAAGCTCAAGGTCCCACCAGAGTGATGACGACCAACGCTTGGGTCAGCCATGGCATACTGGATTTTTGTTTGAAAACAAACGTCCCCCTCCCCAGCTCTTTCGCCAGACCAGTGGTGCTCAGGGGCTGCCCGCAGCTTTGGCTTGGGAGAAGATGTGATGCTGGGGACTGATCACGGGCGCTCAGTGGGAGCGTGTCCCTCAGCTCTCTGCGCCCCCACCCCCCTCCACCCCACCCTTGTTCCGGGTGTTTCTAACTCAGGCAGGCGACCTTCAGAGCACAGAGGCTTCAGTGGCTCCTCATCCAGTAGCTGAGCTGTAGAAAGTTTATTTCCAAGCCTACTCCTTGATACCTACAAAACTCCTTGCAGCTGCTTTCTGTTTGCAAGGAACTTGAAGTGGGACTCGGACTGGCCTTCCTTGACTCCTGCTTCACTGGGGAAATCTGTTGCTCTTAAATCTTCAGTCTCACAAGGATTTTCTTCGCTAAAGTCTCCCATAAGATGTTCTCACTTTGCATGCCCACACACACACACTTAAACACACTTAAATCCCACCTCCTAGCCGGAAATTTTATAATGCATAATTTTCAGAGATCACTGAGTCTCAGGCTCTAAAAGTACTACTACTTAGGTTTGATGGAGCCTCTGAGGGGGTGGGAGGGTTGTCCTTGACCTTCTCTGTGTTCTGTGCTTGGGGATCGCTCCTGGCAGTGTTGGGGACCATTCTGTGCCCGGGGCTGGCTCTGCAGGGCACACACCCTCATGCCCAAGTTGAGTCACTTAAAGTAACTAAGAGTATGTGAACATACTCTGAGAATAATATGCAGGTCAAACCAAGAATGAAGGAGGTAGCGCCTTTAATTTATAAACCAAAACTAAATGATTGGCAGAAGAAAAGTGGGGGCTCCAGATGAAGTAAGACTGACCTTGAGTTAACACAGTAGAAAGGAGCAAGAATAAATTAGAGTTAGTTATAATATTCCCTCCCTATGCTGCCTAATAAAGTTTGACTTTTAGTCGCAGGAAGAGTATAAATCCCACAGCTTAACTTGAGTCCAGAAATGACATTTGCTCCTGTCTTTGAAGTAAGAGCACTGAGATGATAGGGTAGACAGATGGAATTGCAAAATCAAATTAGTAATCCTTTTTTTTTTTTAACTCAGCTAACATTGAATGCTCCCTGTATCCAAGGTCCAAGAGGCAAACATCAGCAGGCACAGCCAAAGATTCAAGCCCTGCTGCTCCCGCCCCTCACCTGAGGGGAAGGGAACATTGTGATTCTGTGGCGGTTTACAGCCAGCAAAAGGCAGTTTGGCTCAGAAAAGGGACTAAAGGAGAAGAAGCCCTGTGAGGTTTCTGTCAAAGCCGATTAATCCCTCTCACAGAAAAAGCCGAGAATGTGCTTTCAACAGGGTGTGGGATTTGGGAACAAGTTAATGTTTTCTTGAACCAAATAATTTTAAGAGAGAAAACCAACATTATAGAATGATAGACCGAAGGGAGAATACGGAAGCTAGCAATGCCTTTCTTGTGGTATTTATTATGTTTACAAACTCCTTGGAGGTATTTGTGGTCAGTAGGTTGAAATTTGATTAAATTCTAGGAATATTATACTTTGAGAAAGATTTATAGAAAAGGAAAGAGTATAAGTCAGAAGAGGTAGAAATAAGATTTTTCTGGATCCCGGTTCTAAAAAAGGATGTGAAGGGTTCTGATAAAATTTGATCTTGGTAATAGGAATTGATTTCTTTGTTACATCTGAAATTCTGTCTATCCTTACTAGACATATGCACTATCAAGGACAAAGTGTTATAGTTTTTTTTTTAATATAGGTTTATAACCTCGTGTCTTCAATACTGACTCTGTCCTAATTGTTGATTTTTTTAAAGTCCATTATTCTCTTCTATTTCTAAGTAGTTTCCTTTATCTTTTCCCTAGAGTTGCCACTGGTATCCAAAGATTGATTCAGGCTGTAGTGATGTAATGATAAAAGAACAATATTTTTATTGGTCTGGGGACTCTTGCATTTTTCCCTCAATGAGCCTAGAGAATTAGAACTTGGCAATGGAGTAAAAGAAATGGAAACCCTAAGAATTTATCTGGGTGCTTAAAAAAACCATTTTTATTACATATATCTGGTTATATGACATTTTTATGTGTTCATTGGTGACCCCCCCTTTCAGGGAGTAGGGTCACAGTGCCTGGTATGATTCCCCAGGGGACAGCCATTCTGGCATAATAACTAGAGTTCCTTTTTTTTTCCCTTTTTTTTCCCTTTTAAGTTCCCACTTTTCCGTAGCAGTTAGTCTGTCATACCTTCCACCATCAAAAATCCAGAGGAAGGTACAGACTTTAAAAGCAAAGCTGCTGCCATATGGATTCAGTTGGTAATAAGAGAAATAGAAGAACGTTTTCGATGACTGAGATTCTTTGCCATTTATGAGTTTCAGGTAGAAATTGCTATGGGATTCTCTCTTTAGAGCATGGGAAATTAATACCAGCTAATTGACTGGGATCTTTGGATCCTTTTTGTAACTGGCGCGATAGCACAGCGGTAGGGCGTTTGCCTTGCACGCAGCCAACATGGCCGACCCCAGTTCGATTCCTCCGCCCCTCTCGGAGAGCCGGGCAATCTACCGAGAGTATCTCGCCCGCAGGGCAGAGCCTGGCAAGCTCCCTGTGACGTATTCGATATGCCAGACACAGTAACAACAAAGTCTCCAATGGAGACGTTACTGGGCCCGCTTGAGCAAATCGATGATCGACGGGAGGGCCTTTACTTTATTTATTTGGATCCTTTTTAAGTAAGTAGGCACCATTTAAAGTATTTTCTAACCCCATAAAATTCACGTAAAAAATAAAGTGTTACAGGTATGATTAACAACACTAGAATGGTATGTTAAAAAAACATTTAAGTGTTTGAGAAGAGTTCATCTTTTCAGGTTTGGAACATTCAGTGAATATAATTTGAAATTCTATTGTGCAAAGCATTATTTTGGTACATTTTGTGGTAGTTACACCGCTATTCAAATGGTTTTCTGTTAGCTGAGATGTGAATTGCTTATAGCATCTGGCAGAGTATTTTCTCAAGGGAGTTCCACATAATACATCAGAAACACTAATGAGTCAGGCTAGAAATCAGAGCAAAATTGCAGCCCTGCTTGGAATTGCCAGAGTCATACCATGAAGCAGCATTAAAATTCAAAGCAAACCACCACAAAATGTGTAACTAAAATGCACCGCAGGCCATAAGTTTGAGGCTGTCATCTGACTGTTAGCTTGTTTTTTTTTCAGTCATGCAACACTTGCAAAGGCCAAAATGTTAATGTTTGTTTTGGGGGAGGACAGCAGGAGAGGAATTGGAAATATCGGAGAAAGAAAACAAGCTAAATTACTTGTAGAGAAAATAGCTGAGGTTGAAAGTAGAATCTGAGGAAAATGCGAATTAGAAACATTTGATTGAAAAACTAAATCGTGAACGGTATGAAAGAACAACCAAGGAAAGGGAACTGAGTGTGAGTAGTTGATCCCCTCTACAGACTTTCTAAAGAGTGTGCTCCAGTTTTCGCCGTTAGTAATGGTGATTAATCACATTAGTCAGATCAGAAGTTTGACTCGAGTGCAAATAAGCCATGTGGTTAATTACTCAGTATATGTTTTTGTTTGGCCCTGGAATGTGTTTTTTGTACTTGGCTCTATCGGGCTTTATTTGATAGTCTGGGAACTTATTTCGAACACTGTGAAGATCTGACTCAGGAAGTGCTGGGAAGCAGGCCAGAGTGTTTCTCCTGACCCCTGTTGAACTTCTTCCCGCAGTCCACTCCATGCTGGGAATAGGCAACTCTTCCCTGAGGCTGGCCAGACGAAGCAGGATTCTCTTCTCTCCAGTGTTCTCTAGACATGGGGTAGTTAGTTTTCAAGTTCCGTGGGTTTCTGAAGTTTCCTTGAAAAAACCCCTGCCTGAAAACAGTAAACAGATGACCTGTTGTTGGTCAGGCAAATGACTGAGCACGAAAATGTCATTGTATTTTAAAGGAGTTTTGCAGAGAATCCTCATAATCATCTACTACTGGATAATAGAAATTTATAATTTCTACAATAGAAACTTAAATTCCTCATCTGGTATGAGAAGCTATCAGTCATGTTTTCTGCAAATTAGTACATTCTGGATCTTTTAATGAGCAAGCACTTTTACATTTTAAAAAACATACAACTTTTAAATGACTGACTGAAACCATAATCCTGTTGGATATATTCCTTGGAATGTCTAACAGTAAGGATGATTTGTTTGTTCCTTTTCTTTTTTGGGGGGGGCTACTAATCTACTTTGTGGCTTTGTCTATTATTAAAATCACTAAAGGACCTTGCTGTTTAAATGGATCCCAATTATTGATTTTGTTAGCCAGATCACCTGCTAGTCTGTTCGTCTCTTGGTTTCTTATAATGTGAATTTTTGTTTTAAAAATATGTATCTCAGGCTTTTTTTTTTCTTTTTGGGTTACACCCAGCGATGCGCAGGGGTTACTCCTGACTTTGCACTCAGGAATTACTCCTGGCCGTTCTCGGGGAATTACTCGGGCCGTTCTCTGGTGGCCTTGGGGGACCCCATGGGATGCTGGGAATCAAACCCCCGTCACCACATGCAAGGCAAATGCCCTACCCGCTGTGCTATCGCTCCAGCCCCTAAGGCCCATTTCTGATAAGTTTCTGTCTTAAGTATCACCTCTCAGTAGAAGATACTATTGCCTCAGTAAAAACTCAAAAAGTCTTAATAAAAGACTGGTCACTCCAGGGTGTTCTGCTCATACTGTTAACATATGGTCAGGCAAATGACTGAACCTTTGTGGGAGGGGCTGGAGAGATAGTGCAGAAGGTAGGACGCTTGCCTTGCACACAGCTGACCCATATTCAATCTCCAGCATCCCATGGGATCCCCCAAGGCCACCAGGAGTGATCCCTGAGCACAGAAGTAAGCAGAGAAGTGACCCCAAAGTACAGGAGTGGCCAAGAACAAAGAAAGAAGAGAAAAAAGCTTCTGTTGGCACTAGAATGTTCAAAAACCGAATTTTGTGTGCATACGCGTTGGATTCTAAGTTTATATTTTGGTTTGATGACTCTGTTTTTTCTTCCCGGCTCTAGTTGAATGGATCGCAGCTGTTACCTTTGCTGCTGGGACAGCTGCACTTGGTTATCTGGCTTACAGAAGATTTTACAGCAGAGATACTCGCAATAAGTCTATGGTCAACCTTCACATCCAGAAAGATAACCCCAAGGTCGTACATGCATTTGACATGGAGGATTTGGGGGACAAAGCTGTGTACTGCCGTTGCTGGAGGTCCAAAAAGGTGAGTAAAACGACTTCATTTTGTGAGTGCCACGTTTAATGTAACATTTCTTCTTACAATTTTGCACCTCCAGACATGGGAGCTGAGGAGGATTCTGGGCAGTTTCCAGCTGTGTGCTCAGGAATTGCTTCTGGCCGTGCTTACAGGACCATGTTTTGCTGGGGATCAAGTGCAGGCTTCTGGCACCGAGCCCAGTGAACTGTCTCTGGCCCCCTCTCTGTATTTTAAGTGTACTCTTTGGAAATACGTATGTTTTCATACGAAAATGTTAACCTCTATGCAGTAAAAAGCGTGTTGAGACCTCACTGTGCTTGGGTGAATGCAATCATGAATAACATTTAGCAATGCTTAGAGTTTACTCCTAGCTCTATGCTCGGGGATCACTCCTGGTGGGACTCGGGGGGACCATTTGCAGGAACAAGGATTGGCTTGTTCAAACCCAGGTTGGCTGCATACAAGGAGGGCAGCTGCCTGCTGTACGATTTCTCCATCCCGCAGTAAATTCTTTTTCATTATTCTTTCCTTTATTGTTTTAACTTTCAAGAATTCCTAGAATTCTTTGATTCTAGGGCGTTCTAGTTTTTAGAATTCCAAGAAAAACTCTAAAAATTACCATCAAGAATTTTTATCATATATATATAAAACTGTACATATTAGGTATATATTAACTCTGTATTTTATACCTTTAAGTTGCAGTTCCTTTGAGGTTTTTTTTTTTCAATATTTTCTTTTGTGAGAATTGCATGTCATCAAGATTCATTTGGAAATATTACCTGTGATACCTGCAGCTTTTAGACAGTGATGACAGCTAGTGATTGAAAGATTATAAACTGTTCTGACTCCACAAGATCATTTGAAAAGTTTCATGCGTTGAACAACACCAGAGATTTCGCAAGTGCTGTGAAAATATTGTGTGTACTGCTCCTACTAGCATCTAAATAAAACAGATTGCCCAAGATGACAATTCAAAGCCTAAGAAAATAGGCAATGAGAATGAGGTGTATAATTTCTGAAAGCACATTATTTCAGGGACTTCTCCGCACAGGTACGACTCCCCACAGTGGAAATCCATTATTACAAATGAGTTACAAATACATGGAACACGTATTCTACTAGTGGCCTTTTCCCAGTATAACTGATTTTGCATAGCCCAGTGGTAAAGTGTTAAGAGATGCCATTATGACCAAAAAGTACTTGATGAATATCCAGAATATGCAGCAAAATCGAATGGTCCTTTTACAACAGGTTGAACCTGTAGAAGTCTTTCCAGGGGCCAGAGAGATAGTTCAGCAGGTAGGCAGTTGCCTTTCACGTGGCCAACCCAGGCTCACCTTCAGGAACCCTGAGTGGTCTCCTAAGCCCACCTGGAGTAAGCCCTGAGCGCTGTCAGGTGTGGTTCAAACACCAAAGTAAATAAAAAGGAGTACCAATATGATTGCTTGGAACTAATCTCTCGATATTTTATAGACAAGACCTGTCGGGGTCCTGGCCAGTCGACCCTGCGGCACACTGGAGCACTGGAGTACGAACCCCCAAAGTCACCTGACTTACTCCCTAAGGGAAGGGAGTGGGTAGGGGAGAAGCCTCTGCCCTGGCCCTCTGCGCACCACGGGAGAAAGAAAGCCCCAGAGCAGGGGGGTCTGGTGGTCAAGCCGTTCTCCGTTTATTGGCCCCTACCAGGGGTTCTTTTACACACGGCGGGTGGGGTGGGGGGCGCATCTCACGTACAGCAGGGTTCTCTCCTTTCTCTAGTACAAAGGTAGGTTTCATATAGATGTCAGTTAACAATTTACATATCCTGCTCTTAGGGCCGGGTTATCAGTGCAGGTAGATGGGCACAGTCATGTCCCACATTCTCAACCAGAGTGCCCACATGTGGGGCGTGCTGGAGCCAGCCCCCTGGGTCTTTGTAAACAGGGCCAGCTCTTGTTTTCAGGGGCAGGGGATTTGGTCAAAGTCTCAGGCTAGCTGCTGAGACCCCAACAAAGACCTGTTTGGGGTCCATATTTTTGGTTGATGGTTGGTTTGGGGGCCAACCCTCAGGTGTTCAGGGCTTACTTCTGCCTCTGTTTTACTCAGGGATCACTCTCACAGGCTTGGGGTGCCTGGGAGAGAAACCCGGTCAGCTGTATTGCAGGGCAAATGCCCTGCCCGCTTGTGCTATCACTCTGACAGGGTATTATTGGTGTGTTTGGTTTTGGTTTTGGTTGGTTGGGGTGTTAGAGACTGAACCCAGGGCTTCGCACATGCATATGGGGCCGTTCTCCCACCAATGGTCTGGACTTACATTGTGCAGTTATTGACTTTTTTGTGTTGTGTTGTTACTGGTCCTTTGTCTTGTTTTGGGTCACATCTGGCAGTGCTGAAGCTTGATCCTGGCTTGGTGCTTCGGAGAGCCTCAGTTGGTGGTGGGCGTTAAACGCAGGCCTCCAGGGGAGCGGCCACCCAGCCTGTGAGCTCTCTCCGTACTTCATAAGAGATTTCATTCTCTTCTTGCTCATCAAAGTATAGAAAAATGCAATCTAGAGAGATTGTGGAGTTTGTAATTGGAATTATATTTGTTTCTTGGTCAGTAATCTTAAATTATCTCATTTCCACTAAATGAATGTGCATATGAAAAAATTCAATGTAAAAATAAAACAGCAGCTTTCATAGGTCTGTATAGCAAGTCCTTGAATAGTATTTTAATTTCAATTTAGTGTTGAGGGGGGAAAAAGTCTCAGCCCCAGCTGAGGTTGAATGAAACCGCTTTCTTTGAGGACTTAAAATTAAAGTCACAGTTTCCAAGAACCTATCAACATAGGGGACCTGTTATAAAGCAGATGTAGCACAAGTGCTTAAGAGAAGGAAGAGCTTACATCTTTCGATACTAAATTTTTGAAAGGAATAATAATAAACAGAAGTTAAGCCCTGGAAAAAAGGGTGGCATTTAAATAAAAAGCAAGTATCGAGGCCTCTTCAAAATCTACTCGAAAGGACTCCTTTGAGCAGAAGGGATCAATGAACAATCTAATGTGATCCCTACTTCCCCCTCCCTCTAGGAATAAGTTCAGATAAATCCAGATAAAGTGCCAGTGTGAGGGGTGTATGGCCCCATACATTCGAGAGTTTCTTGTCAGGGATAACAGTTTTGATACTTACACACCAGGACGCTAGCTGAAGGAGTAGAGAATCCTGAGTAGATATATTTGATGTTTTGAGGAAAGGGTCAGCCAAGTACAATAATTTGTGTGAAAGATTGTGAGAGAAGAACCAACTCTCACTTTAGTATCTAAACATGTAGGATTAAAAGAAATGTTGTCGTTAACATAAATAGGAAATTCAAGAATGAAAAACTGGTTTTGTAGCCAGTGGTAACGAGTTCAATTGAAACAGAAAATTGGAGGTGGCATTTGAATGGAAACGTGCAGCAGACGATATAAAATGCAGGGCTAAAGTTGAGACCAGACTTGGAGACAGAGCAGCAAAACTGATGAGTCAAGCATAGGAATGAACCAGTCCTTGACATAGATAAAACTCAAGGGCTAAATAATTAGATATGCCGGCCATCTTTGAAGCGTTCAGAATAAGAGAAGGAACACATGGAGGGTGCGGGATCCCGGAGGAAAAGAAAAAAGAAAAAACAGGTTCCAAAAAGAGCCGAGAGCACCGGCAAGTTCCAGATGGAGTAGGCGCCGCATCTCGCCTCCCCCAGATGGAACCCTGGTGACCAGAAGCCTCTACAAACACAGCTCGAGTATGCGGGAACGAGGACTTTTTCTCAAAACCGCGCGGCCGCATCTCTCTATATACAAAGTGATCAATGAGAAGTAAACCACCCAATCTTTCTCCCTGAAAATCAGAGTTAAGTTTGGAGCATGGCCACAGCCCCAGAAACACAAGGACTTAATGCAGAAACCAGCAGCTTAGAGCAGAAAAGTGAACGGACGATGAGTTAACCCAGGCCATCATTTCTGCCCAGAGGGGAAAGGGTGTTGCCCCATTCGCCCTCTCTTCTCTGGAAAGAAGGATGGCGGCCGCATGGGAGCCTTGTGGACAGCAGGTATGAGCCGGGGGTGTGGGGGCGACTAAAACCTCATGGGAAGAGGGGCGTTCTGGTCCGTCCTTCACGCCCTACCGAGGTCACCAGTTGCCCCCCACGAGCGGCTCCCCAGCACAGCCACGGCCCCAGAAGCACAAGGACTTAATGCAGAACCCAGCAGCTTGGAGCAGAAAAGTGAACGGACTATGCGTTAATCCAGGCCATCAAGTCTGCCGGAGGGGAAAGGGTGTTGCCCCATTCGCCCTCTCTTCTCTGGAAAGAAGGATGGCGGCCGCATGGGAGGCTTGTGGACAGCAGGTATGAGCCGGGAGTGTGGGGGCGACTAAAACCTCATGGGAAGGGGGGCGTTCTGGTCCGTCCTTCACGCCCTACCGAGGTCACCGGTTGCCCCCCACGAGCGGCTCTCCAGCACGGCCACAGCCCCAGAAGCACAAGGGCTTAATGCAGAACCCAGCAGCTTGGAGCAGAAAAGTGAAAGGACTATGCGTTAATCCAGGCAATCATTTCTGCCCAGAGGGGAAAGGGTGTTGCTCCCTTCCGCCCTCCTCCCTCTGGAAAGAAAGATGGCGGCCACATGGGAGCCTTGTGGACAGCAGGTATGAGCCGGGGGTGTGGGGGCGACTAAAACCTCATGGGAAGGGGGGCGTTCCAGTCCGTCCTTCACGCCCTACCGAGGTCACCAGTCACCCCTCACGAGCGGCTCTCCAGCACGGCCACGGCCCCAGAAGCACAAGAACTTAATGCAGAACCCAGCAGCTTGGAGCAGAAAAGTGAACGGACTATGCATTGATCCAGGTCATCAAGTCTGCCGGAGGGGAAAGGGTGTTGCCCCATTCGCCCTCTCCTCTCTGGAAAGAAAGATGGCGGCCACATGGGAGCCTTGTGGACAGCAGGTATGAGCCGGGAGTGTGGGGGCGACTAAAACCTCATGGGAAGGGGGGCGTTCCGGTCCGTCCTT